TCGTTGTTCGGCCGATGTATCCTGCTCCACAGGGGAAATTAAAAGAGTAACTTCACATGGATGTGACCTTTAAAGGGAGTCGGTCTATACCTCCCAATCGTAGGAGGGGAGAGCTCGTGAAGAACACCCGTAAGTTTGCCGCGGGGAAAGCGCTCGTGATTGCGGTCATCAGGCGTCATCTGACCAGCTCGCTAGTTGCATTGCCTAAGAAAGGCAGTCTTATGAATGCGTCTTTCTTTTCTGCGGTTAAGGTATCAGGCTTCTGGTGCGCTCGCCAATATTCCTGAGTGTGAACCTCTCCAGGAATCCATTTTCAATAAGTGTGCGCTGCAGCTGTTGAAGTTTTGCCTCGACAGTTTCAGGAGTGCAGATTCGTCGTACTCTGGCTGCCAATCCCTGGAGTGGATTTCGTTTTATATTTAGGTGGAAAAAACTGTAAAAATTAGTGTATTGTCCCGTCCAGGTTTTCTTTTGGAATGCCCCACGAAGGATAGGGTTATCATCTTGCCTTCGCAAATGGACATCAAGGAACGCAATTTCATCGTCTACCTCAGTCTCTGCAGCAAAATTGAGGGATGGATGTGCGTTGTTAAACTCCGCGACCAGAGCGTCATTGTCAGCGTTATAGTCGGTCACACAGAAGATGGTATCCACATATCGACCGTAAAATGCAAGGTCTTTGATGGTTTCCCTTAGACTCGTTTTTTCGATCTTACCAATAAAAGCATTTGCGGGAAACGCGTCAAGTGGTGAGCCCATCGCCACACCATCTATCTGTCTGTGAAAATCGACCATTGCAAAGAAATTATACATTTCGCGTGCATCGCGTAAGTAGTTCTTTGAGGGTTTTCATGGGGCATACCTATCTGGTAGTTCGTGTCCGGAATAACGTCACAGATGTAGTCTGTGGTTTCTACTATGGGTGCGCTGGTAAAAAGTGACGATACATCCAATGAGAGCGTATTAACTCCACCAACGTTCATATTCTTTATAGCTTCAACAAATTCAAATGTGTCTTTCAAACTTTGAAGATATAGGTCACTTCCAGGTGGCTTCAGCCTATCTACCAGCCATTTGGCAATGGCGTGATAAGGGGACTTTCTCATATCCAAGATAGGGCGCAAGGGTAACCCCTATTTGTGGATTTTCGGAGGGCCATGCATTCTGGGTACTGTTATTCCTACAGGTCTCAGTCTTTCAAACTTTTTGTCGGACAAAAGACCCGCTTTGTGGAGGTCTTTGAGAACTGTAGTTAACGGACACTCGACGGTCTCCGTCCGATCCTCGTCTTTCTCGGATTTTGAGAACTTTTTACGATCTGCTAGGATAGCTTGTAGCTTCGCGACATAATCATTCTAATTCATCAGTACTATTCCGGACCCTTTGCCTGGTCTGGTTAGCACGATGTTTTCATTTCTTCGGATTTCCCTTAGGCTATCCAGATGAGCATTTGTTAAGGGACCTTTGTTTGTTGGAACCTTTCATAAATATTGCTGGCAGCAGTTCATCAGCGTCGACTTGAGATGGTCAACTTCGTTAGGCTCGGTAGAGTTTAGGTCAGCATTCTGGCTAAAGAGGCTCTCAAATTCAGTTTCTAACTCTAATTGCCTCGGCCTTATTCCTGCAATACAGAACTTAGGGTCTAGAGATAGTACCTCTAAGAGACTTTTGTCGAGGCGTATTGAGTAATAGTTATGCACATGCCAGGGTTGGGAGGGTTGTTGTCGCTTTTATTGGTTGGACACTTCGAAGGAGTTTGGTCCACCTCGCTTCGATTCTTTTTTTGTTTGCACATATTCTTCCAAAGCCTCTCTCTCGAGAGTTTAAAAACGGACGAGGACCACTGCTCTCTGACCCAGGTTCCGCTGGAGTTCCGTTAACCGTCTCAAGATAACTTTATGCATGCCTTCTTAGCGATGCCGACGAAAAAGCGATGAGGTTTCTTCGTAATGTTTTCCAGTATTGTCTCGGATATTCACCCTGGGCCATACACCCTGAGAGGAATTTGGCTGTCACATTTGCGTCAGCAAGCCTGGTGTCAAACTTGAGGAATCCGTTGAGTTCCTTTAACACCGAGGGATCTTTGGACTGTCTTAGTTCTGAAAATATTCCCATGCCTAATAGAAGAAGTCAAGGTTGGCGAACATATGCATTCAGCAAATCTTCTTCAGGCCAAAACGTATGCAGGTGTAATGAAAAAGGTACAGTTGGGCGGGGTTTTTTGGGCAGGGCTGTGTTGTCAGAAGACGCTGACTAAAGCTATTGCACTTCTGTGTACGACCCCAACGAGAGATGGCGATCGCATTTCGCCCCCATCCTCCAGTGACAGTTACTAGCTTCGTGCAAATAACAGTAAATATCACTCCACGCATCTGACCTCTGATCAACGCTCGCGATATAACCCAATTGCCCCCTCCCCTCTCTCTCCCCGTCCCTCAACACAAGAACCTCCACACGCCGACCTCGCCATACGGGCGACGTGTAAACGAATAATTGTAGTCAGACTACCCTTATAAACCCTGCCCAACTGTACCGTTTTCATTAGCCCTGCAAGTGTTTGGCCTGACGAAGATTTGCTGAAAACATATGTTTGCCAAAATTGACTTCTCCACTTGTGTAAAGGAAGTAAAAGCGTAGGTAAAAATTCATGCGAGAAGAGCAAAAAGGACCAGGAGAAAACCCCGTTGGTCAGCAAAGTAAGCCTCTAGATCAAGAAAACTGTAAGAGCATTCCTATAGGTTAACAACGCAAGCCTCTAGACTAATAACACTAATAAAACAACTCCAAACACCATTTGGCGGAAGCACTATTTATTTCAACCCATGTTGCTTGCAGTAGTTTAAATGGGGCTGAAAGATATGGCATCTAGGGCCAGTGTCTCAAGAGTGAAGTGAAATCTCTCGTGTCCCCGGTTTATTTTCGGACATATAGCTGTCAATTTTTCTTTTAAAGCGTTCTAGCGAAGATAGCATCGCAACATATTTGGTAGGAGTATTCCTGGGCTTGACCATTCTGACAGCGAGGGACAACTTGCGCATATAAAGCCTTGTCTGTTGAACGCGCAGTTTAAGTGGGTGACTTATACTGACTGATTACTGAGTTTGGTCGTGATATGAAGTTCAGAACTGTCCCCAAATGGCAAGCAGTAGTCCAAAGCCCTCACTTGCATTTTTGCACAAAACTCAACGAAACAGGTTAAGGTTTTTTAAGCGGTTGTATATATAGAAAGAGACGTTGGCTCTTGATATGTTTTGTGGCTCTCTTTTGGGCTGTTTCGACAAATATCTGACCTGGGACGGTCCGGGGTCTCCAGGCTTATTTAGAATACTCCAAAAGTGACCTCACGAATGCACCGAAAATCTTGGAGAAGGGATCTTCATTGACATCCAAAAAGACTTTCCTGACGCCGTGCAAAACGAATATTATCCTTTTCGCTACTGTCGAGCAATGAGAGGAAAGCATTCAAAAATTAATCGCCGCCATATCGAGGTTCATTTGAGTTTCCAAGTCTTGCAGAAAGGCACGGTTGAGGGATTAGCTTCTATTATAAATGGAGTTGGCTGGATGGCCCAGACAGAGTATAGAACACTTATCGACGTTTGACAACGGGAGCCAACGGTTCAATTGGACACAACTATAACTTCTGCTCTCCAACATGGACTATTTGGA